TAATCCCGATCTAACAAACGACTTGAGTCATAAAATAGAAATTCAAGCATCAACTAAACCTGATTTTAATAATCAGGTTCCAAATTCTTCTATGCTAGTCGATCAAAATAAAATTGATGCTGATAATAGATTTCTATTTGATATTAGATCCATGATAAATAAATTAACACCACAAACATATGATCAATTACAAAAACAATTTTTAGCTTTAGATTTTGATTCTTATGAAAAACTAGAAGGAATGATTATGATATTGCATTCTAAAGTAAATTTTCGTGTTAGTTTTTTACTTAATTATACGAAGTATCTTTTGTGTATTAGGCTATTGATGAACCACATTATAGTTTTCTATACGCAAAATTATGTAAACAACTTCGAAAAGTATGTTTTCTATTATCGATTTTAATTTATTTGAATTTGTCTTTTAGAAATATGTGAATGTCACAGATAAACATGGTAGATTAAAAAAACACACGCTTCGCCCATTATTAATGATATATTGTAAGAAAGAATTTAATAATGATGATATACAAGAAAGTGAATATGAAAAGAGAAAACTTGAACTTGAAACTATAACAGATGAGAAAAAGCATCAAGAAGAAGCTGAGATATTAGAAAATCTTATTAAAGCTAGAAGAAGAAAATTAGACAATGTTGTGTAAGTATATTAATCAACTATAAATTAATACTAAAAACGACAAATATTTATTGGTTCTTGAAGATCAAAATTTTTTTTTGAATCTCATTATTACTATTCAAAAACAAAAGTCTATAGCTCTGCATCGTGTTCCACTCTATTTTAATAAAGTTTGATGCTGCAAAATATTCGATAATACTGTTTCTTAGAATTATGTGTGAACCGTCGCATATAAATATATAAAAAAGAAGTATCTGATAGGTTTATAGTATACATTACAGAACTTTATAAGACGTGAAGTTTGGCTCTGAGCTAAAAAAATGCAATAATTTGTCACTAAACTCAATAGTTTTCAACGTAACGAGCTTTGCTACATCAATTTAGAAATTCTATTAATAAAAAGACTTTGATTTTATACAATTTCTAAGAAGAACATGCAAGATAAATTGGACGTGAACTATGAGTAGTCTCATTGTAGAGAAAAAAGTTTTTAAGATCAATTCAGTTGAACAATCTTCTGTTTATTGATATCTTTATTTTTAGTATCGTTCAAATACATTTCTACAAAAATCTACCTTTTACCTGCTGTATAACTTCTAGTTATATGATTAATTCAGTTTTTCAATGTGATTATAGTTCGTTGATTATTCTATTAGATCAAGTTTTTACTATGTTATAGATCACTTTGTTTGCAAAAAATTACCTTTTTGTGCATAAGTTTCGAGAATATTGCGATTACAATTCGACCAAATAGTTTTGATCAAAGTCCTGAGTGTTCCGTGGGATAAGAAAAATATGATTTTTCCGAAAGTGAAACAATCACCACATTCTTGGATTTAATAATATTTAGATATTTTCTCAATCATCTGATGATATTCGATACATATAGCTTTTAATCTCATGAGATTTAGTGAAAGATTAATTTCAATCTTTTTTTCAAGACGCTGAAATATTTTATCATATTTTTTACTCTTTGATATGTGAAAATTCTTTTTATGAGCTTATTAGTCGAATCAATATTGAGATCAATTATTAAAGAAAAATTGTTTCATACCAATGTAAAGTTGTTTTGATTATTTCAGTTTTATCGGTGAGCTATTTCAAGTACAAATGTTAAGTTATACTATCATATATGATTGTATTGAATTTTTACTTCGTGATAAAACTAATGAAGCAAGTCTTGAATGTTTATGTAATCTTTTACATACTATTGGTGACAAACTTGATAATAAAGTTAAGAAAAAAGTATGTGAAATTTTGTAAACTCAATTGTTGGATTTTCCAACTTTGTTTTAGAACACAAATAGATCCAAATTGGAAAAATATTATTTTGATTTAAATACTATTATAAAAGAACAAAGAGTATCCGCACATATTCGTTTTATGATTCAAGATCTTCTAGAATTAAGACAAGTAAGTAAAAGAATAGACATCTAACTGTTGAGAAAATCTAAACGTTGTATTTTTGTACCATTGAAGAAGTCAGATTGAAAGTCATAAAATCCATTAAAATCTACTCAGTGTACAATAGACTTTCCTAATACATGTAGAAGAAATTTGCCTCGGGCAACGTACTTATATTTAGAATAGAGAATGGGGTGTGGGTGTGGATATTCGTCCCGATGAGAACTAGGTTTACTCACACCCACACCCAGCCCTTCGAAAATGTTTTACTAAAAGCTTTAAAAAATTAGTTACAAAAGTCTTTCTATATATAGTTCAATGCTTCTTCATCGGCTCTGTTGAATAGTCAAAACCATAAGTCTCTCTCTTATTCTTATGGAAAGTTATACAAAAATGCCTACGGTCGTTTAACGCTAGAATGAACAATAGATACTCATTA